TGCATTCGGGACATTCGCTGGTTCCTTTTGCTAGTTCATCTTAACTGACAGGTATAACTTTGTTGAAACCTGTAAACTATTGCAAGCTGCAAAACTGGATGGACCAATTCACGGATTTATACGTGTTCACAAGGTGGTCTGTGCGAGCTTCGCTAAGTGCCATTTGTTGCCCCCACCACGCCGATCTGCGCCAAATTCCTTTTGCCTCTTTTGCCTCATTTGCCGCTTGTGGCGTAATAAATAAATAAATCAGTAAAATAAGTAAATGGGATGAACTTCCTTGTAACCCACCAACATAGAGGTGACACTGTGAAAACTGAGCGTGGAGTGCTAAATAAAGTTTTGGGAGAGCGACAAATGATTTTTTGACAGCACTTCGGAGAAGCTATCCCATGCAGAATACACCCTCCCCCTTCCCTCAGCGCAACAGCCCCTTTTCAGTTCAACTTAAATTGCAGTCGGATCACAGCGGTTAGCTTCGATGATTTTTTTTCTAGTTTTTCGTCTGCTATAGCATAGTATCAGCCAGAGGTGCTATTAACTTCGCACTTCGCTCTTTGCCCTGTTTTCACATTGTCTCTGTGACGTAGCCAGACTTTCGCGCTAACTAGAAAGGAACTGCTTGTTTGCAACAGTTCTCAATTCAAGAGTGCTGTCACTTTTTAGCGCGAATGTAAATTGATAGGAACTGGAACGGAAGCGAAAAACTTTAAATAAGAAGCTCCTCGAATTAGCGGTCGTTTGGTGAAACCATTGGAATAGAAGAAGATTTACTGGTAAAAATCTTTTAACCAGAGAGATATAGGGGGAGGCGGTGGTAATCAAAGCGTGCCCCCTCTGTTTCGCATGTGCCTTTAGACAAAGAGAGGACCGTGCGCTACAGTAAGGGAAGGGGAGAAGGAACTGCAGTATATAAATCTATTGAAGCTGGAAGACATCAGTTACGAACTAAGGTTAGAACTGCAGATTCAAATTTTGTTAGAACAGAAAAAAACCATAGGTAGGAAATTCAAAGGTGAAACTTGTGAAAAAGTAGGGGTTTCGTTAGGTTTTTCTGGTGCAGTTCGGCTTAGGGGGGGGGCATAATGCAGTTTCGCTACTTCTATTGCCGTGTCCATTGCTTCATATAAGTAACTAATTTACACCAAGGGGATTTACACTAATATTTCACAAATGAGTCTTCATAGGTCTGCGTGATGACTGTGAGTGATTCGCTGCATAGCTTTTACAAGATTTTTGCAGTTCTCCACTCATGGCTGGACAGGAGGTGAGAATAAGAAAATGTGCAAAACCGCCGCCCGCAAGTCGAACCCGCTAATGCATGTTAATCAGCTCTCAAAAAATACCGCAAAACAATGTGGCCTGCCTGTCTCTCCAGGCTAGATGTCTCTCTGTATACGGACGGAGCGCTGCTTATTTGACAGCGATTATAGCATGGCTGACTTTTCAATCCTGAATGTCTCTTGCTGTTGGCATAGGTGTTCGGGGGCCCGAAGACGCGATAGCAGCTCGCGCCAAGTGACTGTTCAATGGCTATCTCTTCGTCACTGAGCGCAGATGTGTTCGTCCTGTTGTTCTGCTTTTTTTTTTTTTTTTTTTGTTGATTTATACTGCTCTCATGATGTGCCAGAAATAGTGGCTTATCTTGAAAATACCCATCTTTCTAACGCGATAAATTCGGATTTTTAAAGTCTGGCCGTTGGTTGATGAGTCGGCGGAGAGCGGCTGGGAAATTGCCGCGCATTGTTCGCATTAGAAAGGGGCATTCACTTGTACGGCGCAGTTCGGCGTCCGCCATTTTGCCCTTTCCGCTGCCTTGCTAATTCCGGTTTACAAAAGTTTAACCTCTGTAAAAACGCTGTGACACTTGTGAAGTTTGAGGCAGAGCTCGTACGAGGCCGTACTGTTAAAGACCTGTCAACGCTTGTGAGCCTGCAGTGAAGTAGCTATCTAGGTGACTGGAAACGTCGATGAGAAGCAGGCATAGATGCTCCCCCTCCCGCGTCGGCCGAACTGCCCGTGGAGCTGCCATTTGTAGAAGCTTTGATGGAGGTTTGTCAGGCCTCCCTATAGGGGGCGAGAGGGTCGAAACAGGATGGGCAACCAAGCAACGTGTGCTCGTCCCACCCACAAGGAAACTGCCCTGAAATTACCGGGGCGCTTTTTCATGGTTGTCGATTTTTCGAGAGCAATGTCAAAATATTTACGAGAACGTTTTGAAATTATCAGTGAAGTGTTGAACTGATTGATTTGTTGTTTCAGAGGTGTAGTGTTGTGGCTTTATGGACGAGCACCATCACACGGCGACCAGCGGCGGCTCGACCTCAACGGCTGCGATGAACAGTTCGACCACTGGTGGTGGCGGGGGTGGCGGTGGTAGTGGCAGCCCGACGGGTGATTCTGGAAAACACGATGAAGCCCGACTCAACGCCGATTCCGACGACGGTTCACAAGCTCAGGATCCTGGGTAAGTGAAAAGCATATAGCACGATAGCGCGGCTGCAGTGGTGATGCAACGGCGGAGATGTTAAGAGGTGGTATTGGGTTACACTCAGGCTTTCCCGCTGATCAGTTTGAAATTCGAGCAAGGGGACTTTGGTTGAGTAGGGGTTATCGGCTTCAGAGCGTTATATTAATCACGCTTTCGGAATATAGCCTCTCCCAATACTACCGAGCAATAGGGGGGGGACAGGGTAGAGAGACCAGTGAACAACTCAGATATCAGATACTGTAACGTTAGGTAGCGTTGGGAGAAGGGAGAGCGAGAACCGCTGGGGAATAATTTTTGCGGATTACGACCCCCCCCCCCTACTTAGAACATCCTCTCTGCTACGACCCCCCCCCCTTCCCCATGTCTAAGCCACCTACCATCCTTCTAAACTCTTTCCAACTCTTTACCACTTTCCTGGAGAAGATTGCCAGTTTCTCACGAAAAACCGCAGTCGGGGGGGGGTATAGTGCCGCTTAAAAATGAAAAACTAAGAAAAGCCAGCACTCGAAAACAGTTTTCCCAAGAGCAAATACGATCCACTACCTCCAGGCGACCGCATACGGTCCCCTTGCTGACGAACGCATACGTTCGACGTGTCCTGGTGGGTGGTGGGTACAGGTACGTCTGAAACGGCAAAATCGGAAACAAAAACACTTCATCAGTCCAAATACGACCCTCTCCCCAACCAAAATTTAAAATAGCACCTCCTTTTTCTTCGTCCAAGAAGTCCTATAGAGACTGTGACCTGTTTTCAGTTGTTCCCCGGTCATGAAGATACCAGGCACGACATACTTTAAGAATCCCCAGCAGGAGTTTGTATTTGTTTGATGGAGGGAGGGAGCTGTATTTGTTTCAGGAAAATTCTTTGATAGTCCATATTTCCCGTTTCACGCGTGTTATCTTCATCATTGGAAGAGCTGCATCTGGGTTTGGGAGGGGGAATAGTCTCTCGAAGTTCGGATTGCGCTGGCTGGGAAAAGTACCCTAGGTAGGTATTAAGGAGAATGGCTCACATCAGAGGAGTAGGTTGGGGTGGGGAGGGCGTGTTTTTCAAAGATTTTCCCCAGAGGAAGAAAGTGCCCGGAAGGAGAGTCATTGCCCCAATCAGTGATGGTGAATTAGTGGTGATGAAGGGTAAGTTAGTCGGAGAGGGTTCCAAAGACGGCATGGGCAACTTCCGAGGTGTGATTGGCCCCTGCTCCTCACTTTTTTAGCTCCTTATTTCTGTTTGTATGTGTCCAGGATGTCTGCAATGCAGAACTTTCGTACCCCTGGACAAGATAGAAGGGATTTCCAGAGGATTCCTAGTCCGCCTCCTAACAAATCCGCGTTTGGTACTAGCCGCTGTCAATGGAAACCTTCCATAAGCAATGCTAAATGTATATTTTTCAGGAAGATGTTCATCGGCGGTTTGAGCTGGCAAACAACGGCTGGTGAGTGTGTGCTGTGGCAGTAACTGCGGCTGCGCTGATGGCTGCTGTTGTTGTTTTGACGGCCAGGGAAGAACGGGAGAGCGTGTTTTTCGACAGCAATCATGCAATGATAGTTACTGAGTGATATGCATGTGGCTAGGGCCGTTCAGATGGCTGCATTACGGCCACCGGGTACTATAGCATCACCCTGGAATTATTTGTTACACAAAACCCAGAGAAATATTTTTCATTCCCTCGAGCGGTACAGGCAGTACGAGATCTGGTAGAGGGGAAAGAAGAATTCGGATAGGAACCAGGTAGTTGGCACAGTTCGGCTTGATGGGGGTATTTTGATGTTCTTGCTGGCTCACTGCCGATCCTATATACACCTGTAAATTCCTGTAAAGCCGTACAGTATCGAGGGCTTCGTTTACAATTGTCCACAGGTCTCACTAAAGTGAGGCGTGTATGTTAACAGGAACAAAGGAAGCTAGCGAATCTACAAAATGCCCCTCCCAAAGCGAACAACTGAGGTAGTCTGCATAGATCTGGCCGAGTGTAGTAACAAGGATTAGGATGGACACCGTGCCATTGCTAGTCTCGCTCTAGGGGCTTCGAAAATTGCACGGGGTTGAATGAATATTGTGAGTAGCTTAATTTGACTAGCTGTCTCATTAAACTATGAGGGGGGGGGGAGGATCAGGGGTTTTTGAGGGTTCAGTACAGGTGTGTATTAACACACCGTACACTGCACATTAGGAGAGAAGTGTGAGCTCCAGAGTCAACAAGTGATAGGGTCACGCCTTCAGCCCATAGGTTTTGTAAAGTTCAGTTGTCTTGGCCGCCCTGGTCGGCTGGATATCCTTGAAAGTGGAGGTTGGAGGTTGAAAGAGCTAGTGTTCTGTGGGAATGGAAAAGGAGTTTCCTACGGTTCCGCGTTTTCTGCGGTTTTTAAAGTATTTGGGATAACTAATCGCGTTTTCCGCAATGCGGTACCTCACAGAATAGGATGTCTGTAGTGTTTTCTTAGCTGTTACTCTATAGGGGAGGGGAGCGGGGGGGGAGGGTGGGCAGCAACTAATAAGCACTGCGCTGCAGCTGTAAACTCCTGCCCATCTTGGCGAAATGATACTAGCGTCATACCAGCAGCGTTTCTCCTTTCCAGATCCAGGCTAGTCATTCTGACAAGTTTGGCAGGAGTTTGCAGGGTGCTTGACAGGTGATAACAAGGCTTACAGATGTTGACAAGGTTGTCCGGTATTCATATGTGTGTAGTTTACAGGATTCATTATGCTGACAAGGGAGACGGGCAAGAGAATCGTAATTTGCCGTTTCGCCGCGCGCGGCGATTTTTTTTCTTAACTCGTGTTAACCCGTCGATAAGAGCACCGGCCTTCATGAAAACCCCGTCATCGCAGACATTCATGACTATTTCGGTTCTGAATTGCCTGTTGTCGCTATCTACTTATGCACATTAAGCCCCCAAATTATATAAAGAGGGAGAAGATCGGTCAGGTTCTGAGAACTCTGGAATACCCCCTGCGATCATACGCATACTCTATGTCCTGCAAATGCTTTCATGGAAAAAAATCAAATTGTCATTTTGAAGCGGGTTTGAAATGCTGCTCTTTAAGGACAGTCAACGCGCTCAAGCAATTCGTAAGCGTCCTTCCATGCTTCTTCGTTCTTTTCTTTAAGGACCCCCCCCTACTCTACTGCGTAAATATCACCCTTGAAACTTGGAACGTCAGTTCCTATGAAGTAACGTAGTATAATTAGAATATTTGGGCATGTGATTATCTGACGATCAAAGGCAGTAATGTTATGTTTTGATGCTATTCGGCTTGGGGCTGGTTCCTTCTGTGGCCGGCCGGCGGCCGTCGTAGTCGTCGCTTCATCGATTCCCATCGGGTACCAAAAACATGCCCGTCCATGTTCGCAAACACATTCTGAGGGGTGAGAAACACATTAGCAAGAACATAGGGTTCAAGATTCAAACATATTCAAGGACTCAGTGAATTGTAAAAAGGCTAGTTGACAACCAGTGTGCGCCTAGACCTTCTGTTCGATGTGAAATGATATGCGAAGGGATACTGAGCGTAGTTCGGCTTTGAGGGGTAACAAAGTGTACTGAGCAAAGCTTGTACAGGCCAACCTGAAGGGACTTTTGAAGTCCTGTAACTAAAGTGGTTCTTGTACCATTTCGCAGCTTTACAAGGGTTCGCAGGACTCACCTAATTGACATCTGTTAGCAGAGCACGCTCTGTCACTGGGGAAAAACCTGCAAAAGCGATCCCCCCTATTTCCTCCTCTAGTACGTCCCCTTCTCCCTCTTACCTTCCTACCTACCATCTTACTAACTTCCTCTAACTTTCCTTCACTTTAAATATAGTACTTGTACAGGACTTCGGCTGCGCCGCCAACCAGGGAGAGAGGGAGGGGAGGCGGTGGGGGAAGGCGCACTTGGAACAGGAAAAACAACCATCAGAAAGACCCCCAGGCCAACTGCGCCCACTTCCTCCAGCTACCTAACGTCGCCTCTTATTGGGAACACCCCAGCATACGACGTGCCTTGCCTGTCTTTATATGACAGCAAAGGGGACCGGCGAAGGTGCAATATGTTCCCCCCGGCCCTAATACCGCCTGGTTCAGATTCCTTTCTTTTGAAAGCAAAAAAAAATGTGCAGGTTTTGTTAGTTACGCAGTTTATATAGAAATTTGAATTCTAAATTTATTAAGTGTGTTCCCATGAGCCATGTTTTTCCTATACTTTCAAAGTTTTGTTTATGAAAGTAAAGTTCAGTGATTTTCAGAAGGGCTTCGCGACTATTTTGGCCGTTTTGGTGAGGTTAACGAGTGTATGGTAATGCGGGACCCAGCGACTAAACGGGCTAGGTATGTTAAGCGTTTCTTCGTTGTTGTTCAAGAAGTTGTTCGCATGGATTTGTATTTTTGTGTCACTGTAAGTAGTGTATATGATTTCAGGCGCCGTTCGGCTTGGTGGGGGCAGCGAATGATTCTCAGCTAAACCTGTATGGGCCACCTTGTGAGGACCTGTAAATTCCTGTGACCGGTTTTGGTCACTGGTAGCACTTTAGCTTTCTAGTAGCTAACAGGTCTCACTTTGAGGGAGGGAGGGGGGGGGGGTACCTGTTATTCAGCATGAACAACTAGACGAAACTAGCGAAAGTACCGAATGCCCCTCTAAGCCGAACAGCGTCCGACTTTGTTCCGTATATAGCTTTTAAAGGCAGTTGGCACGATAAATCGCTATACAGGTGTAGAATTTGTACAACTGGCTTAACAGAATTCCGTGACCTCGGACAGGCGCTGCGTGAAGCCTTTTCCAAGGAGGGTACCTCTATAACGCCCTATTGAGCAACAACTTTACGTCCCAAACGCCTTCCTTGCCCGCCCGCCCACAAACGGACGACCGTTCCTGACGCTCATATTTTTTAGTTTTCATTTTTGTACTGCGTTCATTTGTAAGGCAAATTATGAAGCGAAGGGATTGGTATGAAGCGGCGGTGATGCTGCATGCATATATGGGTACAAATATGCAGCCGTATCTTTCGGTAGCGGTGATTGGCAAGATGCGTACGGGAAACTCGTCCAAAATCGATTTACAAGTCACTGAGAACGGAGGCTTTTTCTTCGCCGGATTTTGACCGTTTCACTCCGTTCTTTCGCCATTTCCCCACTATATAGCTCCCTACTAGCATTTTAGGCGAAGTAGGAAACCATCGTGCCAACTGCCTTTAAGGAGTGCCCTTGGGTTTCGGATTTTTCGCTGGTACGAAAGCCAAATCATCTTCATGTTCATCATGTTCTGCGAATGTTCTCTTTTAGAGTTAGCCTGGCATTTCCACGTATGCGATGTGGTTCCTTCGCTCGTACAATTCCCAGTTTCTACCTATCCCCCTGCTGTTTTTTTTATTTATTAGCCCATGTCCTTCTCACACTCCCATACCCATCAGTCACATTTGGTCAGGTGTTTTTACTTTCTCGCGACAGCACGATGGCGCGCGTCGGCGTGCTACCAGTGCTGTAGGAGCAGCCGCAGACGGGTTTCGCTCGGCATTGGTGCTTCTGTTGTGAGGGAGAGTACAACAACAGGAGGGCAGACGCTGCCTTCACGCAGCCTCGTACCCTCCTGTTATCCTACACTCTCGTGAGACACAAGCGCCCTTCACCGATCGATAGCAGTCTGCGGCTGCGTTCCCGTCTAGAGCACAGGGAGCGTCATTGCAGTGGTAGCGCGATACAGCGCGTCATCGCGAAGTCTGAAGGGAAGACAATTCGTTAGTTTTCTCGCTGCTTATTTTCTTGAACTCTGCATGATTCGGTAATTGAAATTACCTTTTATCACAAAAGACAAGGAGTTCCCTGTTTTATTTCAAGATAAATTTGATCT